GAATGTAAAGGGAAAAACTTTGAAAATCTTCTTCTCAAGAACAGCAAAGCCATGATTGGTCATATTTATGTGAAAGCATCTTCAGGGGATGTAGATTCAAATTTGTTTAAATCATCACCCCCGAGGTAGGGTGGGGCAACAATGGTCCATAAAAGTTTAACATAGGAATTTTTAGGGAAAATCTTCAAAAATCTTCTGAAGAACAGCAAAGCCATGATTAGTCATATTTATATGGAAGCATCTGCAGGTGGTATATATTCAAGTCTGTTCAAATCGTGACCCCCGGGGGTAGGGTAGGGTCACAGTGGACGATCAAAGTTTTACATAATAATGTAAAGGAAATTTAAAAAATTCTTCTCAAGAACAGCAAAGCCATGACTAGTCATATATGGAAGCATCATCATGTGAAGTAGATTGTTCAAATCATGACCCCCTGGGGTAGGGTTGGGCCACAATGATCAGTCAAAGTTTTACATAGGAGTATATCGGAAAAAAAAATTCAAAGAACATTAATGATTGGTCTTTTTTATATGGAAGCATCTTCATGTGGTAGTGCAGATATAAGTTTATTCAAATCATGACCCGGTTGGGGGGTGGGGGGGGGGGGGGTAAAGAAGGGCCACAATGGAATTCATACCCGTAGGAAAAATCAGTTGGTAAAAAAAAAAAGTTTGCATGCTTAGTTTGTGTAGATTCAATTTTGTTCAAACCATACCCCCCTCTCTTTTACCGGACCACTTTTTAAAACTACATTGATTTTTTAGGGTTTTTTTCTTAGCCATTGCTCAGGTGAGCGTTACGGTCCCCTGGGCCTCTTGTTGAAACTTTTTATGACTTGATTATTGAATGTAATCAGATGCCTAACCTAATGGAATACTTGTAAATATTTTACCACTTTTACATTTAATCTTGGTGCATATCAACTATACAGTGCATATATCATTATTGTAATACGGTTTAAAAGCTGCAACGTTAATTCAATATGATTATGTCAGAGTAAAAATGTACCATCATTGCAAACATCAAATTTTGAAGAAAAAAAACATGCATTTTCGGATTAAAGGAAATCATTTTTGGACTGTCAGATCATCATTTTTCATGTCCTTCTTTTTTCATCATGAATAAGTTAAGTTACAAATTTCAACTCTTATGGAAAAATATATTTGACAAAAATGCAAAACGGGAAAGTCTTTCATAACCATTATTGTCATCTTTAAAAAAACAAGATGTGTTTGTGAAACACTGATGCCCCCGTATTGCAACATAGCGAAGGTTAAGCTTTCTCAAATGCAGATCAAATATGTTGGTATCTAATGCAAGGCCTTTTCGCAAGAAATACAAATGTGAAAAATAAAACCGTAGCACCACCAGTTCAAAGGTTATGACCAAGAATAACGTTTTCAAAGGTAGGAAAAACTCCGAGTTCAATGTCAAAGGGTCAAGTTTGTTGGTTTCTAAAGAAAGGCCTCGTCTCAAAGATTACCTATGGGAATTATGAAGGCACTGGTCCTTACCGTTCAAAAGTTATGGCCAAAGTTAAAGTTTGTAAAAAGTAGGTCAAACTCCAAGGTCAAGGTCAAAGGTCAAGGTTCTTGACATCCAATGAAAGGACTTGTCACAAGGATTACATATGTGAAGTATGAAAGCTCTAGCCCTTACTGTACAAAAGTTATGGCCAAAGTTAAAGTTTGTAAAAAGTAAGTCAAACTCCAAGGTTATAAGGTCAAGGTTTTTGATATCCAATGAAAGATCTTCTCATAAGGGTTACATATGTGAAGTATGAAAGCCCTAGCCCTTGCCGTGTAAAAGTTATAGACAAGGTTAAAGTTTTTTTTATATATGCATAAAACTCCAAGGTCAAGGTCAAAGTTGTTGGCACTCTTTGAAAAGTCTTTCTACAAAAAAATATGTATATTTAAGTAGTTAAGTCCTGGTATCTACTGATCAAAAGATATGGCCAAAGTAAAAGTTGGAATTTTTTGTGTAAAAGTGGGTCAAACTCCGAGGTAAAGGTCAAATTTAGTGGTACCAAAAGAAAGGTCATATCACAAGGAATACACATGTGAAATATGAAAGTAATAGCTCCCCTACATCAAATGTTATGGGCAAGGTTAAAGATTTTGCGGACAAACAAACAGACAGACGGACGGACACGACGAAATCTATATACCTCCGAAATTTCGTTTACGGGGGCATAAAAACAACAAAAACGATATACCCCACGAAACTTCGTTTCGGGGGGCATAAAAACAATTTTATCATTTTGTTACAACCCTACCATAATAGATACTCTAACAGTAAAAATAGGTAAAAGAAAGATAACCCATTCTTCTAGACCAGAAAAGATCCGCTTTCAAAATTGTTTTTGAACTCTAATGCCTTATGTGGGGCCTTGAGTGAACTCGAAGTGTAGCGAAACCTCTTAAGTGTAATTAGAGGGTCTATAACTGTTCATCATGCTAGGGATAAAAGTTGATGCAATAAGTATAATATATAATAACTTCTTAATAAGCCTAGTAATATCAATAATAACATTTTATTTTTAGAATGTGTAATTCAAGAATTTCATTTCAAATGAAACATTAAAAGTACAAAGATGATACTCTGTATGTGGATTTTAAGTACATGTACACTGACACATAAAAGGAATACTCATTTAAACATGGACAGATTGCAAATACGTGGAATGAAAAAAAGAATGACATTGTATAACGTTTATCGCTTGTTTATACTGGATAAATGGCTAAATACATACAAGTCAATATATTGAAAATCAAGAAAGAAAAAAATACTTAAAAAAAGAAATATATTTTTCGATAAAAAAATATTAGGCCAAAATAAAAAATACCTTTTTTTTTTCCCTAACGCGACCGACCCAATGAAATAGTGCCGACTGAAAAGATTTTTTAAATGAGATGATTCCAAATTTTTTTAATTGTCAGCCAAGATTTATAAAATACAATTTCATCAAAATCAGTTTTTATCAGAACGGCCGACGTTGTTCTACTGTTATTTTCAAGCATTTGATGGAAACAAAATAGCGCCCAGATGTGATTACAGAGAAGTAGTTCTTCATAAAACAACGGCGATGTCTCAATATTATGCCTTTAGCTAATTAGAATTCTTCACTCTTGAAATTTGATAATAAAATTCACCATGACTAATTAAGAGTGTTTCGGAGGTGTCTTGGCGGCTCCATGCGAGTTGAATCAATTTTCGAAAGGGGCGGTAAACAACAAACAAACAGATCTGTCTGTTCAGGCACGTAATACATGGAAAGGCCAGCCTCATGAGCAGATTAGGGGCCCACCTAGTGAACATGCACATCATTCAATTTCATTGCATTTTATTTAATTTGAGTTTTGATCTAATAAACAATTCATCTATGTTCCTATGTTTACTATATGCCATTATGGAATCATACGAGTTGTTGTAAATATGTCTGCATATTCATCCTGATAAATATTATTCAGTTGTACTTTTTCATGCCTTTATTTACGGGTTAAACTTCATTTTGTTCACAAATCACTTTCTTTTGTACTTTTCTTATTTATAAATGTAATTTTTCATTAAATTTTAGAATGTATTTTCAAAGCTGCTGTCAGAAAATAAAATTGTTTACCTACCTACCGACCCAACTTGAGAATTTAGGGTCGGGTTAGGGGAAACAAAGATATTTTTAATTCCGGCCTTAGTTAACACGTTCATTCCATATTTATGTAAACATGTAAATAAACTTTAAATCTTATTATATATTTATTTAATATTTATATTAATAAACTATTTAAAAATTCAAAAGTCCATACATACATATAACACGTACATACATGTATGCAGATATTGCATTCTAATAAAATGGTATTCTAACTAAAAAATATAGACTCCTTATACTTAGAAAATATAATGTGTAAAAAAATTTTTAAAAATGTCTGTAGATTTTTTGAGCTAAATATAATAGGTAATATACATTTTTAAAAATCGTTAACATGTAAATCTTTTAACATGCAGACCTGAAAATAAATTTGGATGTTCCAGCAGAGAGCTACAACCCCACTTATTAAATAAAATCTATGTAAAGCACATAAAAAGAGTGACGCGTCTCGTTTTATTTCTTTGTATTTTCAAAATGTGTAGCGATCTAGTTGGACGAAATCAAATATCTAATTTTAGATAGATTGTCCCCTTTCTAACATATTCATATTTGGATTGCAAAGATATTTAACAAAACCTATTGATGATAGATATAGGAGAATGCTTACCAAGATTAGATTATCAAACCACCAATTAAAAAATGAAACTGGTAGATATAATAATACACTTAGATCTCAAAGAATTTGCACACTTTGCGCCTGTAATGATATTGAAGATGAATTTCATTTCATATTAAAATGTCCATTTTATGAAAATTTGAGAAGTATGTACATTAAGAAATATTATAATGTCAAACCAAGTGTTTTTAAAGTTGTATGTTTAACGAGTAGCGAAAATGTTAAAGAATTGTCTAATTTGGGGAAATTTTTATATAAAGCTACTGCTCTACGAAAGTCGAATTTGTAACTACTATTGATATCTATATCCTTTGTGTATTTTTGTATATATAATATTTATTCTGTTTTCTTTATTGTGTTTATATGTTGTACATGTAAATCTGATGAGCCTTTGGCTTAAAGAATAAAGAAAGAAAGAATTATAAACTGATTATTTCCAAGGATTGCAGTTTTATGGCACCTTTAATTTTTAATAGGATTTCCTCTGGCAGTAATTATTGATTTATATGAAACAGCTACAAAACTTCAAATAATTTAAAACCGACTGAAATGGTTTACGCCACCCCATCCCCTTTTTGAAAAACGTATTTATTATTAATATCAGAAAAAAGAAAGCTTATGAATGAGCACCCTGTCTTCACAAAGAGTTACAAAAATAGTTTTCCCGTTTGGTATTTTGTATGCTAGATCCCCGCGCCTTTCGACGAAAAATTCCTGCCCAACCCCCCACCCCCACCCCCCATCAGTGATCCTCTGATAAGAAAAGTTACTATCAAGGATATAAATGTCCATAAATAATATTCTTTTTTACCAAGTTGAAACGACTTTTTATAAAATTTTTGAGTCATTTATCATGAGAAGATTTTTTTTCTTCATATCACTGACAAAGAAACTATTTTTCCTGGAATTGTTATCATGAAGGCCTTAAGGCGAAATGTAGATTCCCAAGTTTGCTGTTTGATTTCATTATAAAATTTTGTATAATATTTAACCTGATTTTATTTCAATCATAACACTCTCTACTCTCTACATAGAGAGTACGCAAACGAAATAGTGGGAAGGGTACCAGACTGGTGCATTAATAGCCATCCGGAGCCCCTCGCTTTCTATAGTCGGCATTGGCGCTTATCTTTCCTTCCTCTAACTGTAAAATGCCCTGTACTACTGAACCGGCAGAGTCCGAAATACTAATGTTGTGACCAATATTCTTCAACCCATTTAAAACTTGCTGAAAAAGAAAGTAAACAAAGTTTACAGATCGCCCAGCAATCGGAACAATAAGTTGAGTTCGCAAAACATCCGAGGAGTTCCGATTGGATCGCCCAGAGACCCATGAGGGCAGAAAGAGTAAATTTTCCTTCCGTTTTTAGCTCTACTGGTCAGAGACCAGAAGAGCTTATGCGACAGTAATGCGTCCGTTGTCCGTCCGTCTGTCTGTAAACAATTTTTCAAAATGCTACTCCTCCTACAGTTTTGGTCTGATTTCAATATAACTTGGCACACAAGTAGACTACACTAAGATACATAATTCTGTGTATCGGTTTTGAATTTCGATGAAAGATGTTGCCGTGGTTACTAAAAATAGAAATTTCTGTGAAATTCTTTCAAAATGCTACTCCTCCTACAGTTTTAGTCTGATTTCAATATAACTTGGCACACAAGTAGACTACACTAAGATACATAATTCTGTGTATCGGTTTTGGATTTCGATGAAAGGTGTTGCCGTGGTTACTAAAAATAGAAATTTCTGTGAAATTCTTTCAAAATGCTACTCCTCCTACAGTTTTAGTCTGATTTCAATATAACTTGGCACACAAGTAGACTACACTAAGATACACAATTCTGTGTATCGGTTTTTGATTTCGATGAACGGTGTTGCCGTGGTTACTAAAAATAGAAATTTCTGTGAAATTCTTTCAAAATGCTACTCCTTCTACAGTTTTAGTCTGATTTCAATATAACTTGGCACACAAGTAGACTACAGTAAGATACATAATTCTTTGTATCAGTTTTTGATTTCGATGAACGGTGTTGCCGTGGTTACTGAAAATAGAAATTTCTGTTTAATTCTTTCAAAATATTACTCCTTCTACAGTTTTAGTCTGATTTCAATATAACTTGGCACACAAGTAGACTACAATAAGATACATAATTCCCTGTATCTGTTTTTGATTTCGATGAATGGTGTTGCCGTGGTTACTAAAAATAGACATTTCTGTGGAATTCTTTCAAAATGCTACTCCAAATACAATTTTAGTCTGATTATAATATAAATATGGCATGCAAGTAGACTGCACTAAGAACATAAAGAGACTTAATCAAGGATCATTATTCTATTTATTGCTGTTGAAAAGTTTCAATTTCCAACTGCTTAAGTACTTTTCTCTTCCTTTGCTATAAGTACAAACCAGTAGAGCCTCAGTCTCGACAGAGACTTCTGGTTATAGAAGTAGTCAACATCCGAGTGTTAAATTTAAAACAAGATAAATGAAGTTTAATATTTGTTCTCATGAATCCTATTAAAATTTTTTTTTATTATCTAAAAGAATATAAAAACCAACCTGGTTAAATCCGTTTTCCACTGTGACGTATGCTGGCAAAAGCTGATGATGCAGTCGTTTGTAATCTATTGATTTCTTAATTCCATACTTGAACCACAAAGTTTCAATGCTAACCTAAAACGAATTCAATTATTAAAAATGAAATCTCAAATTTGAACTTGTAATAAATTGAAAGCCAAGACAATAACAAAGTAACAAACCACTAACAGAATTGTCTATTATGGATTAATTGACTACCAAGACGAGGAACCAAGCTAATTCAGAGAATCTGTGTCCCCCGCTATGAAAATAAAGAAGAGGCTGCGTTGATCTGGGAGGGGTATAGGGATGGGGAGAGGAGGGGATACTATAAGAGAGGCGGGCGGTGCCATAGAGAGCTACGTAATGTTTATTACAAAATCCTCTTGAAATATTAATCGGAAATTAAAGTTTTACACGCAAACAGAATGACCTTTATCATGTTTCTGTTGGGGGTTGGGGGGGGGGGGGGTAGATTCATTCCGTCTCTTACTCATAAAATATATGAAAATTTCAGCCATTTTGACATAAGATTTTTATTTCATAATTTAAACTACTACCATAAACGTACCAAAGCCATGGATGTTGTAATTCTAGTTCCACCGGAAGCTCCTACCACTAGCTTCACGTGACCATCTGAATCCACCACTATGCTGGGGCACATGGAAGACAGTGGTCTCTTACCCGGCTTGATAAAATTCGCGGCTGAGGCCGGAACACCAAATGAGTTTATTGTGTTCGGTGTAGAGAAGTCATCCATTTCATTATTAAAAATTATCCCTGTTCTGCTTCCGACCACTTTTGAACCAAAACTATTTAAGCAAAGAAGTGTGATATGGTGCAAAACGTACCTTATTAAAATATAATTTTTCAATGTAATCAGTTCTTAGGATCAAAGTATTAATGGATGTTCTTGCAGAAAAAAATCATCAAACGTATTGAATAGATTTAACATGAATTATTTTTTAAAAGAATGGATTTGCATATGACGTGTTTACGTTCCACTTGGAACTCCTCGGATGGCGCTTACCTCGCACACTAACCTCGGACGTCAGCGGTGGTCTACTGTCTTGCTGATTGAGTCTCGTGATCTTATTTGAATTTATTCATTTGTTATACATTTGAAATTTGTGTTTAATACTTTGTGGCACACTGAACACTTTGTTTTTGCTTTCAAAGCCTACTAGTATATTAATAAGTTTGTATTCTAAAATCAATTACAATGAAGAATAAGACAAGTTAAGGGTCCTCCACACACCCACAGCTTATGTTTTCATTTTATTGAGTATTACTTTTAACAAGCATATCAACCTTTAAACACTGTCCAGGGATTAAAATGTAATCTATATTGATTTTTTAAAATAATTATTTCACAAGTTTCAAGAAATTTTTCGCAAGGCGTTTTCGTACCTAGCACAACAAATTTTGTCTTACCCTTTTGTATATTTTTAAGCTCACAGAATAACCATAAAAACTTAATTTTATCGATCAACATATCTTTTACAGAAATTTATTTTATTCATAAAAAGTACATAAAACTCATTTTCTCTAAAATACATCCAGAGAAAAATCAATGAAGAAATGTTTTGTATAAAAAAAACAGCAATGAATTAGATTACATCAAAAAATTGAACTAAAATTAAAAGCACTGATGTAGAAAAAACATTTTCAAAATCTTTGGTATCAAAGTTCCTTTTTGGAGTTATCTTTCCTGTTGCCCGGGACTCAAAAACTTTGGCAAGTCTCCGCATACGTCACCATACTATATTTAGTAATTACTTGCCACTGAAGTGGACAGATATAAAAGAGGAAAACTAGGAACAAACACTATTTTATCAATATTCATAAATACACAATGAGATAATGTATTATTGAAACGCACAAATTAGTGTGCCGAAATTTCAACTATCAAAACAACCTCGGTTGATTAGCCTGAAAGTATAAATAACCTGAACGTTTCTCGTCATACCCGGTACCTGTTGTTTACGAATTATTATGTAACATAATCCAAGACGTCTGTTGTTCTTTCATTAAAAAAAAAATGCACATCTTTTTTTCCATCCGTCACTCCGTGATCATGCCAGCCATGTCACGTGTTCTTTGTTTACAAACGGTGCTAGGCCAAATCGTCCATCCATAAACTCGATAAAACCGGAAGTAAAAAATTTTTTCTCTATATACGTCACAAGTCACATGGTGTGGAGGACCCTTTTAAAAAACCTTTTTGAAGAACTTTATGCAGAGCGAAATATGAAATGAGTGACAAGATTGTTTCCGACGGAGCTATGTATCCAACTTGATGCAATGCCTCGATCATTCAACCTATCACATTCGAGGTTTAAATTGAACGTAGCAGATACAGCCGAGGATTACCGATTGTTCAAGCTCTGTCTTATTTGAACTCTTCAATTACAGGAGACATTTCAAACAAGAGGCCCATGGGCCACATCGCTCACCTGATTAACTCGGGTGATGCAGTTCTTTACCAGATTTCCCCTCTTGCTATATATCAATCGTGCCCCACTACCCCCTTCCCTTTTATGATTTTAATACTTTAGAATCTACACTACCCCAGGATGCTTCAACATAAGTTTCAGCTTTCCTGGCCCAGTGATTCTTGAGAAGAAGATTCTTAAAAGATTTTTCTTAAATACAGTGTATATCTATGTTAAATTTGGATTCCCTATTGTGGCCCCGCCCTACCCCCGGGGGTCATGATTTTAACAATTTAATATCTACACTACCCAAGGATGCTTCCACAGAAGTTTCAGCTTTCCTGACCCAGTGGGTCTTGGAGATGAAGATTTTTTAAAGATTTGTTCTATATATTTCTATGTAAAACTTGGAATTCCCTTTAGTGGCCCCGACCTACCCCCGGGGGTCATAATTTTAACAAATTAATATCTACACTACCCAAGAATGCTTCCACATAAGTTCCGCTTTCCCGGCCCACTGGTTCTTGAGAAGAAGATTCTTAAAGATTTGTTCTATATATTTCTATGTAAAACTTGGATTCCCTATTGTGGCCCCGCCCTACCCCCGGGGGTCATGATTTTAACAATTTAATATCTAAACTACCCAAGGATGCTTCCAGATAAGTTTCAGCTATCCTGGTCCAGCAGTTCTTGAGAAGAAAATTTTTAAATATTTGTTCTATTTATTTCCATGTAAAATTTGGATTCCTTATTGTGGTCCCGCCCTATCCCAGGGGTCATGATTTTAACAATTTGATATTTACACTACCAAGGGATGCTTCCATATAAGTGTCAGCTTTCCTGGCCCAGTGGTTCTTGAGAGAAGATTTTTTAATGACCCCACCCTATTTTTGACTTTTCTTGATTATCTCCCCTTGTAAGGGGACTTGGCCCTTCATTTTAAGAATTTAAACTCCTCTTTACCAAAGGATGCTTTGTACCAAGTTTGGTTTAAATTGGCCCATTGGTTCTTGATAAGAAGACGAAAATGGGAAAAGTTTACAGACGGACAGACCGACGGACGGACGACGGACAAAATTTGATCAGAAAAGCTCACTTGAGCCTTCGACTAAGGTGAGCTACAAAACGTTTCATATGTCTGAATGCTTTATGAAAATGAAAGATGGATACAAATATATGGGTGTTTTTTTATCAATTCTCCGAAATTCGTTATAAGAATAAACTGATAAAAGATGGAAGATAATATATGGGTGTTTTGTTGGGAATTCTCTGAAATGCGTTTTGAGAATGAAAGATGAAAGCAAATATATGGGTGCTTTTGGGTAATTCTTCTCAAAGTATTGCAGATTTGTTTACTTACTAAAGGTTTATTGTACTGGTAAGTGAGACAGCATCACCATTTGGCGCCAGAACTGCCAAATGTGACGTCCCTGTTTTTGGCTGGTCGTAAAATGTCGGCCCGTAGTACATGGTGTCGTGTGTAGAAGTATCAGATATCATAGATCGAACATATTCGGCATAGGTTGATGACGTCATATTATTAATCAACTGAAAAAGAAAGAACATATTTAGCCTGTTTCCCCGGCCTTTTGTGCAGCATTATGGGAAGGCCAGGAAAACAGACTAAGAACATATTCTGCATAGGTTGATGAAGTCATATTATTATTATTATCCCCGAGTACCCAAAGTTCGTTACCATGAGCGGAAAACGCCCCGTGTTTCTCTTCAAATTATATTTTGATTTGTAAGAAAATTTGTAAGAATCTTCTTACCGAATCAATATTATCCTTAAAATTTTGGCTTTCCTTGTCTGGGTCCCCAAGACTACTTCTCTTTGCAAAAGCGAATTTCATGGCTTCTACGATTCTATGCCAGGTTAATGTCGATTTTTCCGTGGTTGAGACACTATCAGGATTAAACCCGTATCCTGCAGAATGTCAATGCATTTAATTTTTTTTTTCTTGTTTTAAGAAAACTTCATAGCTATCAACACATATTTTCTATAATTTTCACGGTCTTTAGATTATAGAACGTTTTATCTTAAAGTATATTTCAACTTCCTGTATCAACATACCATCTGCGATCTGGAGAATCATGGCGTACACTGCTCCGCTAGATGGCGGTTGTGGTGTAAAGATGGTGGAATTGTCCTTCAGTTTCACAACTAGTGGCTCCTTGACAACTGCTACGTAGTTCTTAAGGTCTTCCTTTGTTATAATCCCACCTATAAAACAATTATACCGGTATTCCTCTGTTCTGCATTGTTGACCAAAAATAGACACATTTCGAAACGAGTGAAATTAATAATTAATACGTCAGAGGAAAATCAAATTATAACCTCTGCTTATAATTTTAAGAAAAATTTAGTACTTTAACCATTAATAACTTGAAAAAAGAGTGCTTTCTTATCTGGGAGTTTAAGAACATCAACTGTCAAAATTGCAATACCTGCTTCCCGAATATCCTCCACGATGTCATCGACCAGCGAACCGTTGTACATTGCGTGTGGGTCGATGGCAATGGCTTCAAACGTGTTGGCCAGTTTGGGCATTTTGATGATTTCTCCTTCGTTGTACGGTCGTCCAGTTTCTGGGTTTGTGAGGACATCTCTGTAAAGAGAATCAATTGAATACAAAAACCTTAAAATGAAAGCGATACCTTTAATAATTGAGAATATTTTCTCATCAAACATTGTACATTTTCTCATCAAACATTGTACTAATACCCTGTTCACACGACGAGTTTAATTCGCAGTAAATTAATGCGAAGTAAACTAATGCGAATAAAAATAATGCGAATTAAATTGCGTTCACACGGCAGCTAATGCGAAGTAAACTAATGCGAATTAAAATTCTACTTCTACGGCCAGGCGTCAGTAAGGCTATTATGAAGTCATTTGCAAATCACGTCACCTTATGCAGGAGCTGATGCATTTGACATAATGGCAAAGTGTCTGTACACACATTTAAGTGATTAACACAATTTTCCTTAGTTTTTCACTCAAAAGTAGCACAAATACTTCAAGCTGACCACGGACATGTGGCATTTGACCTAATTTTGCCATTACGCATGCCTAAAAATTTAATTCGAATTAGCTTCGCTTAGCGTTCACATGGAGCTAATGCGAAGTAATTTAATGCGCAGTAAACTAATTCGAATTAAACTAATTCGCATTAAATTCTCCGTGTGAACGCTAAGCGAAGCTAATTCGCAGTAACTTTACGTTTAATTCGAATTAAACACTCCGTGTGAACAGGGCATAAAAATATTGTTTATAATGATTCTGGAATCGTTATTTGAATTATAAATAAACATTTTAATTATACCTCAAGTTTTGTTGTCTAAGTAACACTGTCGTTTGTCGAGAAATAGCGTATGCCAGAGGCTGGCTAACCCTCCAACCCTCTCTAAGCTTCTTTATGGTTGGCTGAAACAAATCTTTCCATGGCAATTTGCCGCCCATTTTCCAAGCTTCATACAATCCTTTGATTTCCCCTGGTACTCCTATGGCTAAACCACCTAGCAAAACGAATGGAAAGAAAACTAATAATAGAAATTCTGCCATAAAATTTCCGAAAAATATGCAAAGAAAAATTAAAACTATGGAATCGGGAGAGGTCTACGTAGTTCACTATCGCGTCATCAAGGTTCTATTCGATAGTGCAGTGACGTGATAATACATTTACGATGAAGCGATGGTGAGATGACGATGAAGATGAAGATGAGATGACGATGGTGCGATAGCGCGACGACGATGTTGAAGCGATAGCACGATGAAGCGAAAGCACGATTACGCGTTGGTGCGATAGCAATGACTATTTGGTGAAATGACGATAGCGCGATGGTACGATGACGATGAAGCGATGTCCACTAGCTCTCCATCGTTTTGATGTTAAATTACTTTTGAAAACAAACAAATACATCAAGTAAATATAATCAGTACATTCATGCAGTCGTTTGTTACCTGAGTGACTCAGGTAACCTAAATATGAGACATAATTACATATGCTCTGTATTTATATTTCTAAAATAAATAGTTTAAAGCAATATGAGCTGCAACTTTGATGTCAGAATTTTTGTTGCAATATTGTAAATCACTATTTCAATGACTGAAAAAATTAGCTTCATTAAAGTTTTGTTGCTCATATTTGCAATGGAAGAACTATTCATAAGCTTCGATTGAATCAAAATGACATTATTGTCGTCCTGTACAATACCGCATAGCGCGTTTTCTTGGCGGGTGTAAAATTTGGCGTTTTGCCTGCTCAAAGGTGTGCTAATAACTTTATAATTTATATTAGCGGACACGAAGTTTCAGCTCTTCGCAGATGAACAATATAAAGACTACTGAATATTTTAGCGATTAAAATTTTAGCGGGCTACTTTCAAAACGCCAAAATAAGCCAAAATTAGCACCCCGCTAAAATTACCCGCTATAAGGTATAATGATTTCTTACATAAAACTGTATTTTGAATTGTATATAAAAGTCTTTCTTCTGTTTAATTTTAGTCCAATCGATCATAAAGGTTCAAGTTACAAATTTGTCATAATAACACATGTACATTGTAACACCAAAATAAAATTTTCAAAAATGCAGCTCATATTGCTTTAAGTGATTTTACAAGGATTCATAATAATAGAGAAAAAGGTTATGAATTTCAATTTGTTTTTATGGATTATGATTCCTAGCTGTACTGTTCACACCATTACAAGTTTTTGTTTCAATACTTCCGAAAAAGATTTGTTTTAAAGACTTCATATTGGTTACAGAAACAAACTATAGTACGAGTATTCAAGAAATTTTATCAATTTAAGGATAAATCCGTCTAGTTGTTATATAGCTGTTCCATGTTAATAAATTCATTATGGTTATTCATTCTTTACCTTCCGTAGAAGATTTATTCTCTGGCACATACATTTCTTCTGTAGCTGCCCCTGGCGCCATCTCGCGGGCTATAATTGTGTAAGCTGTGTTATTTGCCCTTTAATATTAAAAACGTTGAATGACCGTTAAAGGATGTTATTTGTAATGTGTACATACAGTGTAAATTTTTAGCATTCTGAAATCAGATAAGCCTTTTTTATTTTTTTTGTTTTACACGACTAGGACATACTTATTGTAGTCATGAAATATCCTGTACATTTTAGTATAGTGAAATCAAATATTAAGTCTTTTTTTTTTTTTTTTAATTTTTTTCTTTTACACGACTAGCACATACTTATTGTATACAGTTATGAAATGCCCTCCTCCAATACCACAGCTGTGACTGTTATCTACACACTGACAAAGAATGGTGGCGATAGCAGCATCTACCACGGACCCTTGTCGCCGCCCCATGATATCTCTGAAATCCAACACAGTTCAAAATGGTATTAATATTTGTTTTAAGGGTTTATTAAGTATTATTTTTATTATTCTTTCCTATATTTCTAAATGCTCAACAATTGCCTTACTCTTAAGATTAAGATGCGTGTACCGAGTACTTGATATTTTTCTTTAACTTAAATGTTCTTTGAATTCAGTTAGTTGTTTTTATACATTTCTATACTGCTATAGCTTTTTGTTTTAGCTATACATGTAAATTTTTGAAAATATACACAGGTATGCCTGTAAGAGTGTAAAGAAATAATTCCCAAAAACACTCTTAAGGATCCTGGAAGTTAAATATAAGAAAAACATACATGCCGATTTTTGCGCAGGTTCCGGTATCAGATGCAATGGCGGCGTATCGATAATGACCCTCGATTGATGGGGATTCCTCTGGAGCAGGTTTGGTGGTGGTGGTGGTGGGTGGCGACCCTGTGGAGGAGGTTCCAGATTCCGTCCCTTGTTCTCCACAGGGCGTTTGGTTGGAATCCTTGTCTCTAGTTAGCACAAACCCGAGACCAAGTCCGAGGGCAATAATACAGGCGATGATGAGAAAAGTGGCGATGATTATTAGTCGCCCTTGAGACATTTCTTTGGACCTATTAAATAAACAGAAAAGCTTTATTACCTACTCGAGATTCATTCATTCATCTTTTATTTTTTATTTCCCCTGTGAGGAGATAATTACGATTTCTCTGAACGGCGCTTATCTGTTATATATACATGTATTTGTATTGCATGTATGTGCTCTAAAGTGGAAAAAAACCTGGCAATTTCCTATTTAATCCTATAGTAAATAAACCTGTATTTTGAGATGGTTCTTTAAAAGTACCTGGACTTTAGATTTTGCCTAAACTTGGCATATACATTGAAGTCAATGTAGGTTACATATATGTCAAAAAAGTAAAAGAGTGTCTCTGTTGCTTTTTTTTCACAAAATAAAACTCCAGTTGGCTCCTTTTAACTTTCAAATCGTGTGCCGAAAAGATTTGCTCTTTAGCACATTAAATTTTATTGAGTGGAAGCAGATAATTAACGCAAGTTTTAAAATACATGTATAACCACTTAGAATTTGGTTATAAGAAATCAAAGTTAATTTTCTTGGACTAAATGTACTAAATCCTTACTGTAATTCTAGCACAAACGGGGGTGACGGAACGTTAAATCACGGTCACCTGACGTAACTTATTTTTCTTTTTATAAAAAAATACCCATACCTATTAAAAAACAAGGGTTTATAAATTGGTATGGGTATATTTTTTATAAAGAGGAAAATATGTAACGTCAGGTGCCAGTGCGTTGACGGGTAATAAAGTAATCGCGTTGTGGTGCTGTCATGAAAAGTATAGGAGAAAAGTGCATTTTTACCTATGGTCTTCCAATATTAGATCCAAGAAATGTTTGTCCCACAATATATGATATAATATGATAGATTTTGGTAAATAGCAATCAAAATCATTCCGTTATTTCCCGATCATGACAAGGAGCACACGGCGGGTGTGACCGGTCGGCAGGGAGTGCTCATTCCTTCATGACACCTGATCCCACCTCTGATGATTAAGAACTCTGTTTTTCCTCTGCTTCAAAATTTGTACAGTTTAATGTTCTGGACCATTTCGTGAGCTTAAAACTGTTCGTTATTTCCATAAAGAACAAGGTATGATGACAACAGAATCTGGTCCCTTATTTGATGTAAAAATCAGAACACTGTTAAAAGTGTGAGAGTTTGAAGATAAAAACTTAAAATGATGCTTGTTTCAAAACCAGCACTCATTTTGATTTAAAGCTTATACGGAGGCCACAGCAGAGTGCGATCACAGTAGAGGAGTGCGATATTTTTCCGATTTTTTAAATTCCGGAAATGGAAATGGAATTTCATCAGATTTGAGATACGTTTCTCTTCGGGAATCATAGAGCTCAAGCTTGCCTATCTGAGAATTTTAGCGTATGAAATGTAAATATTGGTAGATACATGTAGCTATAGGCAAGCATGAGCTCTCTATATCCAAAACAAAATTGTGCTGTACAATCGATGAAAATTTGCATAACATTGTTGCATCATGCTTAAATACACCCCAAATCAGGGGTCAAAAAGGGGTCTTAGACTTTTTGTCCTTTCATGAAGCAGGGGAAAAAATTAACTCACCCCATAATGTATCGTTGCTCCGGAAGTCATATAATGTCCTATGACTCTGGATGAAATTTTGCTTTTATTACACTGGACTCTGTAATAAAAATTTAGAATAAGTGAGAAAAAAAATATCTAAACGGCGCTCTAGATAATTATATCAGCCGCAATTTAAAAGCTTTTTTGATTAGTATATAATGGAAATCCTAATCTTTGAATCAAGTTTTTAAATATCATATTACGTAAATATTGCATGAAAAGAGATCCTTGCAAAATTTTCTAGACAAGTGTCCCAGAGAGAGAGAGAGAGAGAGAGAGAGAGAGAGAGAGAGAGAGAGAGAGAGAGAGAGAATTGTATTTTATATATGTATGAAGTGAATAAGGATCTCTAAGTTTTACAAAACAAATAATTATATGATTAAATTTTTATTGAAGCTGCGCTTCGGTTGACAATGATTTTCTTGGGACGAAAATTTTCAATGTTAATCTCAACCTAGCTTATTACATGCAGAATTTATTGAATATTAAATTGTGACTGTTCCTCGAAGTTACATAAATCAAGATAAGAAACAGTCTCGACGAAGAAAATGATTTATCATTTTATGTTTATAAAATGTTTATAACATGCATAGATTTGAAGAAAACATCCCTACCGAAAGAGAGAGAGACCAAATCTCCAAATTTCATAGCAAACTATTCATATAATAGTCTGAAAAATTGATATAGTCAATCAAATCATAGTTCATGAATGCAAATTTCTAGAACTCAAAATTCATTGACTAATTGAGTATCCCGGTACATTTTATAATCAAGACTTTGCACACGGTGTTAATTCACACTGAAGTTATGTAATTATGTAATAAGTTTTCATTATTAACCAGAAGTCTCTGTCGAGACTGTAGACTGTAGCTCTACTGGTTTGTACTTACATGTATAACAAAAGAAGAGAAAAGTAGCCGTTGGGACTTGAAACTTTAAAACAGAAATAAATAGAATTATGATCCTTGATTTAGTCTCTTTTTGTGGCAATATTGCAATAAGACTACAACGGTAGGAGTAGCTTTTAATAAAATTTTACAGAATTTTCCATTTTAGTTACCATGGCAACATCATTCATCAAAATAAAAAATGAAAACATTTATGTATATCTGTGTAGTCTACTTGCAATCCACATTATACTATAATCAGACCAAAACTGTATGAGGAGAAGCATTTTGAAAGTATTTCAAAGAAATTTCTATTTTTAGTAACCACGGCAATATCGTTCATCGAAATAAAAAACCAATATACAGAATTATGTATCTTAGTGTATTCTACTTGTGAGTCTAGTTATACTGAAATCAAACCAAACCTGTAGGAGGAGTAACATTTCAAAAAAATTCTATTTTTTGTAATCATGGCAACATCAATCATTGAAATAAAAAACCGATGTACAGAATAATGCATCTTAGTGTTGTCTACATGTGTGCCAAGTATCAATGAAATCAGACCAAAACTGCAGGAGGAGAAGCATTTCGAAAGTATTTTTCAAAAAATTCTATCTTTAGCAACCATGGCAACACCGTTCATCGAAATCAAAAACCAATAAAAAGAATAATGTAACTTAGTGTATTCTACTTGCGAGCCAAGTTATGTTGAAATCAAACAAAAACTGTAGGAGGAGTAGCATTTTGAAAGTATTTCAAAGAAAATTCTATTTTTACTTATCACGGTAACACCGTTCATCGAAATCAAAAACCGATAAAAAGAGTTATGTATCTTAGTGTAGTCTACTTTTGTGCCAAGTTATATTGAAATCAGACCAAAACTGCAGGAGGACTAGCATTTCAAAATATTTCAAAGAAATTTCTGTTTTTAGTAATCGCGACAACACCGTTCATCGAAATCAAAAACCGATCCAAAGAGTATACATATCTAAGTGTAGTCTAGTTGTGTGCCAAGTAATATTGAAATCAGACCAAAACTTTAGGAGGAGTAGCATTTTGAAATATTGATTACAGACTGACGGACAGACAGAAGGACGTACGATGGACACCTTACATACCTCGCATAAACTCTTCTGGTCTTCGACCAGTAGAGCTAAAACACGATATTTACACGTTTATCATTCATTTGATGCTTTTTAGGTCACCTGAGTCACTCAGGTGACCTACTGCTATCCGTTTTCGTCCGTCGGCGTCCGTCGTCCGTCGTGTTTCGTGTGTTAACATTTTAACATTTTCAGCTTCTTCTCTGAAATCACTGAACCAATTTCAACCAAATTTTGTATACAGCATCTATGGGTGAAGGGGAACAAAAATTGCGATTTTCATGGTCCCTGCCCCCCTAGGCCTGAGGGGTGGGGCCAAAACCACTAAAATTAAAGAAATCTTTAAAAATATTCTTCTTTACTCCTGGACATCAAGCAGGCAAACTGTTAGCATAAATGTGATGAGCATTGAGTCCTCTACCAAAATCATGAAAATCATGGCCCTAGGGTCAGGGGTTCTAGTGCTAGGGTGGGGCTATATAGATTATATAGTGAAACTGCATTATTTCTTTGAAAATCTCCTTCTCTGCTCCTGGGTATTAAATAAACTAACTAAGTACATAGTTATGATGAGCAAGAGTGCCTCTTTCACAATTGTGAATTTTATGGCCCCAAGGTCAGGGGTTCTGGTGTTAGGGCGGGGCTCTATTAATTACATAGTGAAAATGCATTACAATGTATTTCTTTTAAAATCTTATTCTCTGCTCCTGGGTATTAAATAAACTAATTAAGTACATGCATAGTTATGATGAGCAAGAGTGCCTCTTTCACAATTGTGAATTTTATGGCCCCAGGGTCAGGGGTTCTGGTGTTAGGGCGGGACTCTATTGATTACATAGTGAAAATACATTAATTCTTTCAAAATCTTCTCCTCTGCTCTTGGGTATCAAATTAACTATTTAAGTACATAAATATGTTGAGTAAGAGTGCCTTTTCCAAAATTGTGAATTCTATGGCCCCTGGGTCAGGGGTTCTGGTGTTAGGGCAGGGCTCTGTTGATTATATAGTGAAAATGCATTAATTTTTCAAATATCTTCTCCTCTGCCCCTGGGTATTAAATAAACTAAGTATGTACATAGTTATGATGAGCAAGAGTGCTTCTTCCACAATTGTGAATTTTATGGCCCATGGGTCAGGGGTTCTGGTGTTAGGGCGGGGCTCTATTGATTACATAGTGAAAATACATTAATTCTTTCAAAATCTTTTTCTCTGCTCCTGGGTAATAAATCAACTAATTTAGTATAAAGTTATAATGCCTCAACCAAATTTGTGAATTTCATGGCCCCTGTGTCAGAGGTTTTGCCATTTGGTGTATGGGGGAGGGGTCTTTTGATTATATAGTGAAAATACATCAATCCTTTGAAAATCTTTTCCCTTGCTCCTGTGTATTATGCTAATGATCCAAGTATATATATTTATGATGAAGAAAGGTGCATCTAGCAAAATTTCATGCCCCCTGGATCAGAGGTATCGGAAGGAGGGGGGGGGGGTGGATTACATAGTCTGAAAAAAAAATAAACGCTTTGAAATCTGCGCTTTGGTATTAATCCATCATTTATGATGAAATAAAATTTATGATAAAATTTCCAAAATTTTGATATATGTGGCTCCAGGGTCAGGGTTCCTTTGGGGTGAGGTGCACAACTGGTTATAATTAAAAGTGGAAGTGCATTTTCTCTTTGTTACTCTGATCTACCTCTACGTATTAAGCAAAAAGAGTAAGCATGCCAAGTTTAAAATCATGATTAGCAATGGTGCCTCTTTCAAGATTGTGAATTTCATGGCCTCCTGTTTAAAACATGAACCAAATTCAATTGTTGGAAAGTTGTTACATGATACTTAGGTGACCTATAAGGCCCATGGGCCTCTTGTTTTCATATATTCTTAGATTTAACTAGGTTTTTCATGTATAAATTAGAAAAAAATGTTTTATCTGTCTTTCTTCAGGAACAATTTCCTCTTAAAATTTAAGGTTTCTAGATGCAAGTTTTGTCCCATTTTTATACCTTTAAAAAATGCTGCTTCACATAATCTGGAGTATTATCAAAATTGTATTGTGTATTCAGACATATCAAATTTCCTGACCCAAAATAAATTGAATGGACGAGATTTTAAAACGTAACACTAGAGAGGAGTAAGGTTGATCAGGAATGAATAAGCCGCAGATCCTATATGTTACCTTCTTTATTGTCAAGTTGAAAGAGCTGTGAAGATTTTCCTTAAGATTTTTTTTTTTTAGAACCGAAATATTATGACTAGAATGCACCTCAAGTACCGTGTAGGCACGGACGCTATTTAATATTTCACACTACTTGTAATTAAGCTAAGACAGGGATATTTCATTCAAGCATCCGAATTAAATGAATTTCCTATTAAGTATTATATACTTGTATAATTATTATAATGAGGATCAGAGCCTACTCTCAAATCTATAGACGCAGTATCGTTGAAAACGCCGTTTTAAACAGAACACAAGAAAAATGGTAATAGATCCCTTTAAGGACTTTGTAATAGAAAATAGAAACGCACGACTTTCTGCATGAAGTAGTGCCATTTTTGATATTCGTGAGAATCTTATAATATACCTTTTCAAAACCCTCTGAGGGAACAGATGAGGCTTGCCATGATCGACATGTACTTGTAATATAGGTATACTAAACGCTGCTTGATGGGGACGAGGGACTCGTTTAAATGCACCTTTTTAACAACTTATTATAAACACGCAGTATAAAAAAGATGGGAAAATGGAGGAAAAATAACTTACCTTTACCTTCTTCCTTAACTCACTGTTATCCAGCGCAAGCAATCGCATCATCTCGGGTCTTTCCGTCAGAGGTCGGAAAAACAACCTCGAATGTATTAACATCACCGGATGTTAAAAATTTATACATTTCCAGTGTAGTCAAATATAGAATAGAAGGAGTTAGAAGTCCCTTCTATAGTATATTTTAGGTAATATCATTACATTTAATAAAGTTAAACTTCATATTCCACAGATAAAAGGTCCCCATGCATTTATTTCAAACATCGTGAAAAGGGAGGGTTGTCATGGCATCTACCATATACATTCGAGGTCGTTTTTCCGCTATAGTCGGAAAGGCCCGAGAAGTTGCGATTGCCATCGCAAGCACAAAGCCATTTGAAAAAAATCCTTTTAAATATATTATAGAAAAATCCCCTTTCAACAATTGCCTCGTCAGAAAAAAAGGCAGTATTTACATTTTTTATGACCATAAGTAAAAGCTAAAAAAAATTCTGACGTAGCCAAAAATTGTAATAGACAGGTGAAATCTTTTTAAGTCAGGAATATACCGGATGCACCTGTACGTAAGAAATGTGATTGTCTATGTCAAGTTACACCTTAAACAACAAGAAGAGGGAGGTAGCGTGCTCGTCCATTAACAAGGCTGTTAAAATCTAATTTTTTTTTTTATAGAAAGAATACGGAATTATAGTTAAGAACTTTTCGTGGTTCATAAATAGAAATATGAATGTAAAGGTGTCTCAAATTTTTTAGTATGTCATTATTTTCCTCTAAATTACCTATCTAGAAAATAACCCAAGCTTACATGGATTATTCTAAAATTAAACAGGAAAGGTGTTGCCCTTGTAGGTCACCTGAGAATCATGCAACATTTTTCAATGATAGAATTTCTTTCATGTTTTAAGGTAGATGCTATGGAATTAACAATTTAGAAAAAGGGTGGCAACATTGCTAATCATAACTATGAACTTAGCAATTGCTTAGTTTGGTTACGTAAAGGGGTTTGGTGGTCGTGGCCATTTTTAGACTATTTCAATCTCATTTAGAAGAAGAGCTCCATATAAAGATAAACAAAAATAGACACATTTTAAAACTATTATGTATGAAATTTTTCTTTGTCAATCAGTTCTTCATGAAAATGTAATTAAAATCCAGCATCGGACGCAAATTTGAGAGTTTTCATCCCTTGATGCATCATTTGGGCATGTTTGGCTAATACAATGCTATATAAGCCTTATAGTTTTATGGTAATAGACCTGCAGCAATAACTTTCATCTGGTCCATTATCTGAAAAATGTATGTCGAATTCGGCATCCGAAGCAAGTCCACTTGTGTGCATCCTATGATGTATCATCCATGCAAGATTGCTCATTATAGGGCTCATAGTTAATTGGAAATGAAACCTGCATCAAAAATTAATATTTTCACTCATCCACAAAATGTAGTCCAGATTCAGCATCCGAAGCAAGCCTGGTAGTATGCATCCTTAGATGTATCATCCATGCAAGTTTGGTCAACATACGGCTTATAGTTCCTTGGAAATGAAACCTGCACCAAAAACTTTAGCCTGTTCACTCAACCAGAAAATGTAGGTTAGATTCAGCATCCGAAGCAAGCCCGGTAGTATGCATCCTTATACGTATGCATCATCCATGCAAGTTTGGTCAACATAGGGCTTATGGTTACTTGGTAATGAAACCTGCACCAAAAACTTTAACCTGTTCACTCAACCGGAAAATTAGGTCAGATTCAGCATCCGAAGCAAGCCTAGTAGTAGGCATCCTTAGATGTATCATCCATGCAAGTTTGGTCAACATAGGGCTTATAGTTCCTTGGAAATGAAACCTGCACCAAAAACTTTAACCTGTTAACTCAACCAGAAAATGTAGATCAGATTCAGCATCCGAAGCACGTCTGGTAGTATGCATTCTTAGATGTATCATCCATGCAAGTTTGGTCAACATAGGGCTTTTAGTTTCTTGGAAATGAGACCTACATCAAAAACTGCTCCAAAAATGTTAACCTGCTCTAAAAACATTAACCTGGTCATTCCTTTGCTGAAATTGCAGCAACTGAAACTTTGACTGGTACAATGAAACACACTAGAAGCATCTTCCTTGCATGCTTAATCAATATAGGACATAGAAGTACTTAAAAAAAACTGCTCCAAAAACTTAACCTTAACCTGCGACGCCGACGCCGACACCGACGCCGAGGGTATTACATAAGCTCCCCCAACTTCGTTGAGGTGAGCTAAAAAAGGCACTCTTACTCATCATAATTATTTACAAAGTTATTTTAACAAGCTAATTCAGAGAATTTGTGTTCCCCGCTTAAGGAAAAAGTAAAACATGCGCAGTTCGGGGGGAGGAGGGAGGGCCTTACTGAATTTGTAGAATTATTAAATGTATACATGCATGTATACTGAAGCAAATAAAATATGCCAATATGGATATAAAGGTTTGATTGCTTATTCTTTATTATGTGTATAGAAGATTCTTTTTATAGGGAATATTCATCACACTGTATTGATGATTTTATGAGTTTGTACAAGACAGACCTCGTAAATTTTTCATTTCGCGTACTGAATACTATTACTAAGTAAAAAAAAGTATTTCTAAAAAAAAATGTTGTCCGTCCGGGACTTGAACTCGGGACCTCTCACCTGGGAATCGAGAAACATACCACTAGACCACGGAATCGCTTTACATGGAGTCAAGTATATGCAGAAGTGAAGTCACATACATGTATATAATATTCATGTTCGGTATTGTCAAAATTTTACACAATCCATGATGTTTGATTTATTTAGCATTTATTAAACAGTTCTAATAGATGTAATAACATAAAGTCCGCCGAGAACCTGTTTTATACGCAATAACTCTCCTCATGCCCCTGTGTTAAAAATAGCGATATGTAATACTATAAATACTAATAAAACAAACGGGGCGGGGCACTTTGAGAGGGGTGAGAGAGGTCCTAGGGAGTTTTGGTATAAACTTACATTGCATAAGCTCAAAATCTTCTTGAAATATCGCCCGGATATGATAGTGTTACACACAGACAGAATGTATAAATTTACGACCTGGAACTTTGACCTTTTGACCTCAAAATCAATAGGGGTCTTTATTAGGCCACAGGGAGTTGTTATGTAAAATTTCATTGCAATAGCTCAAATGGTTCTAGAGATATCGTGTGGAAACGAAAGTGTTATAACAGACAGAATTTGCTTATTTATGACCTTGACCTTTGACCTTTTGACCTCAAAATCAATAAGGTTCCTCTTTAGTCCATAGGGAGTTGCTATGCTAAATTTCATTGCAAAAGCTCAAAGGGTTCTCGAGATATCGTGTGGAAACGAAAGCATTGCAGAAAGACAAAAAGACGGACGGACAAATCCAAATTAATATCCCGCACTTTTCAAGCGGGGGACAACAAACAAACAAGACTACCAACAGAATTATCACAACTGACATAAAACAACTATAACAACCAACAACTTCATTAGCACAAACACCACCATATCGACACCACTTCAACTAATAATGTAAACACCAAAATAAAACAAGCTAATTCGGAGAATTTGTGTTTCCCGTTTAAGGAAAAAGTAAAATATGCGCAGTTCGGGGGGAGGGAAAGGGGGGGGGAGAGTTGGATCCCCCTCACTGAATTTGTAGAATTATTAAATGTATACATGCATGTATACTGAAGCAAATGAAATATACCATTATTTAAATAAAGATTTAATTGCTTATTCTTTATTATGTGTATAGAAGACTCTTTTTATATGGAATATTTATCACACTGTAATGATGATTTTATGAGTTTGTACAAGCCAAATCTCGTAAATTTTTCATTTCGCATGCTGAATACTATTATTAGTAAAAAAAAGTATTTCAAAAAAAAAAAAAAAGTTGTCCGTCCGGAACTTGAACTCGGTACGTCTCACATTGGAAGCGAGAAACATACCAGCAGACCACGAAATCGCTTTACATGGAGTCAAGTATATGCAGAAGTGAAGTCACATACATGTATATATTCATGTTCGGTATTGTCAAAATTTTACACAATCCATGGTGTTTGATTTATTTAGCATTTATTAAACAGTTCTAATAGATGTAATAAGAACATAAAGTCCGCCGAGAACCTGTTTTATACGCAATAACTCTCCTCATGCCCTGTGCTAAAAATAGCGACATGTAATACTATAAATACTAATAAAACAAACGGGGCGGTGCATTTTGAGAGGGGTGAGAGAGGTCCTAGGGAGTTTTGGTATAAACTTACATTGCATAAGCTCAAAATCTTCTTGAAATATCGCCCGGAAATGATAGTGTTACACACAGACAGAATGTGTAAATTTACGACCTGGAACTTTGACCTTTTGACCTCAAAATCAATAGGGGTCTTTATTAGGCCAAAGGGAGTTGTTATGTAAAATTTCATTGCAATAGCTCAAATGGTTCTAGAGATATCGTGTGGAAACGAAAGCGTTCCAGACAGACAGAAAGAGGGACGGACGGACCCAAATTAATATCCCCCACTTTTCAGGCGGGGGACAATAATAACCAACTTCCCAGAGCACCGCTATAACCAACTCACTATCAACATCAAACCACTAGCAAGAACAATACTTGACATAAATTTACTAGAACTTATATAATCTTTATCAACAAATAAAAAATAGAATACATTGTAAGTACAAGCACGTCGTCAATATGAGGAACAACACGCTAATTCAGAGAATTTGTGTCCCCCGCTTAGGGAAAAAGTAAACCATGCGCAGTTCGGAAGGGGGGTGGGTGGGTGGGGTGGGTCTGATCCCCTTGACTGAATTTGTAGAATTATTAAATGTATACCGATACATGTATACGGAAGAAAATAAAATATGCCAATATGGATATAAAAGGTTTGATTGCTTATTCTTTATTACATGTATGTGTATAGAAGATTCTTTTTATAGGGAATTTTTATCACACTGTAATGATGATTTTATGAGTTTGTTCGATCCAGACTTCGTAATTTTTTCATTTCACACGGATACTATCATTTAGTAAAAAAAGAAAAGTATTTCGAAAAAAAAAAAAAACTTAGATTGCCCGGGATGCGAACCCGGGACCTCTC